ATATATTATAAACTATAATATAAGTTAGGTATGATATTTTCAATGGTGCTAAATGAAAAGTCAAAGTAAACCCTAAGTTCTATTGTTTTGTCCCTTGGGTTGTCTGATATAAGACCATATAAACCAAAGACATAACAATTTCCTTTAATAGTCTCCGGATTTAATTTAAAGAAAAATAAATAAAGATAATGTTATTTCGTTAAGTCATGAAAGATCTTAAAAAAATAATGAATTGAAAACGATGAAAAGAAGAAGATTGATGTGGCTTTTGTCTCTAAGTAATTAAACAAAGACTTAAGCAAAATACTAGTCTTGCTTCTCTTTTTCAGAGTTGATTTTAGTTTTTCTTTAACCCTTATAAACACTAAAAACTTAAAATAATATTCAATTTACCTTTCATATTATAAGCTTGGCATCTTACTATTTTCTTCACTCACTTTGACGTTACATGCTGCATGGTATGCAAGAATCATTGTCAATGACAACTATATATATAATTTCAATTTTTAAATCGTATACTTCATCCATTTTATATGTGTAATCTCAGTTTTTTTCCTCCACAAGGTACATATAATATATAGTACAATAAAAACTTGATAATATTGACTAAAATCATTGCTGCAATTTGTTATGGATAAATATTGTATGAATAGAAAATGTCACAAAAGCCAGTTGTGTACAACTTACAAACTTATTAAATCAATGTCTACACTTTGGAGAAAAATATGCAATTTTTGTGTGAAAATGATGACATCAATATGATAAATAATGAATTTCAAAATTGATCTATAGTAGGCTGAGGTTTTCATAACCTATATAAATATAATATCCCTCTCGGGAAAAAATTGGTTACCAAGCGGAAAGTTATTTGGATTAAGAAAAACATAGTGTAAATAAATAAAAGAAAAGTTTGTAAGTGATTTAATAAGTTTGATAACATTGTAATATTATAATTTTGTCTTTACGGTTAAAATTAATTTAAAATAGAGACTAGTTTAGAAAAAAAATAGTAAATTATTAAAATCTTGCAGTTAATTTTAGATATTAGACTCCAATTCAAAAAAAAACTATAATTTTTAAAAATAAGGACTATTTTAAATATTAATAATTTTTAATTTATAAAAGAGAAATGCATACACTTAATAAACGGACATGGAGAGGGGCTATGAACCCCAATAACAACGCGTGGGCTAGACTCTACAATCACAAGCTCTTGTTCCTGCACTTAGCAGTGAGTTATGTTGGAAGTCTCATATCGATTAAAGATAAGACTAATTCATAGTTTATAAATGAGTGCAAACCTCACCTTACAATATGGTTATGGTTTTGTGAGATTGAGTTAAACTTAAAATTTAATTTTTAACATGATTTAAAGTTCCCTTCTAACAGGTTGGAGTAAGCATGACCTTATTCATGTTGCCAATATCTTTAGAGTCTCTGATCAAAATCTTTATATCCAAAGCATAACAAATATTATATACGGTCTCTTTTATGAAAAGAACGAAGCTTGAAGAAACATACTTTGTTTTTTGGATCACTAAACTCAAAGAATGTGCAGTCCCTCCATATCAAGTATACTTTCCTTCAAAACTATCTTTAATTATTTTAGGTTATATTTTAACTATTTAAAGCATCTAACAATCTGATGAGCTTGTTCTAACCACGATCTTTCACAACATTTTGCAGATGTTTTCCCCAATTTCTATGCCAAAATAGGATCCTTCTCCTCAAATTCCTCCTGGTGTGAGGTAAAATGTACCTCAACTTCTCTTTTGTTGTTTATGATTGATTATTATAATTTCTTAATGTCCATTTTTCAATCATATGACTAGCTTCGATTGCACTTTTTCTAAAGCTAGATTTTTGTTGTTGTGAGTAGCAGGGTGTAACTGAAAAGAGTTGGACGAGATTATCTCTTTGACTGAATACATTCCTACATCTAGCTTTTCTTTGGACCCAATTCTTTCAGAGGTTCAAATCCATTTTGTTATTGAAATTATTTAGAAATAATAATGTTTTGTGCGATGATGCTTCTAAAGATTTTTATATCATTTGTTAATGGAACTCCATATATCACCCTATTGTCAGATCTTAGAGTTCAAACTTTCTCCTTTGAATTAAATAATTTTGAGCGTATAATTTATGTTGTTTTATTTGTAGAGAAAGTTTGATTTGAGTTTTATTTAGCTTATTTATATTATGTTTTACAGTATTCATCAAGAATGTTGTTTATTCATTCTTGATGATACTCTTATAAGCTTGATCTTTTATATAGCTTAGCAATGAAAACTATAGTTGGTTCATGCACGATGTATCATCTACCAGCAAGTTTTATACTCATGCTCGCTTTTTATTTTATTGACATTATTCTAAAGAGTCTAGCATATCTCCAGAACGTGTTTGCTATTGTAATTGTTGTTTTCTATTTTTTTTTTCATACTTGTCTTCGCCTCTAAAGAGGTAGGTGTGAGTGTATAGATACACAGAAAAAAAAAATCGAAGTAGGAAAAATTGGGTGACATTGTGTATATTGGTTTGTTTGTAGTAAAATGTCGATTCGAACAAACAAGATGAAAGCAGTAGCCGTGTTGATGAAGCAGTTGACGACAGCAAGGAACAAATTCCATGAAAAGGGAAGAGATGAATCATTTTATAAGAAATTGGAGAAGTTGTGGTTGGTTCTGAATATTATAAAGGATGTGTTTGTGGAAGTGAAGAAGAATGAAGAAAAACTGCTGGACACATTAGCAGAGGTGTATGGCCATCTTCAGAGGTTAGACCGTAAGAAGCTGGATGAAGACATGGAGGGCATTTGCAAGAGGATTAGAGATTCCGCTCACAATTTGCTCCCAACGCTTGTTTTTGACGACTCATATAAGGAGGAGTCATATAAGGAAGAGTCATATAAGGAAGAGTCATATAAGGAAGAGTCATATAAGGAAGAGTCATATAAGGAAGAGTCATATAAGGAAGAGTCATATAAGGAGGAGGATGACAGGGGTGGCGAAATATCTCACTCATCACAACAATTGGTGCGCCCCCATCAAAGGCAGAGTTGGACTGCGGGAGATTTTAACTTGCTAGACTATTTATTAAAAGCTTGCTTCGAGCGTCTCCTAATTTTTCCTGAGAACGCTATCATAAGGAAAAGAATTGCAATTGATTTGTGGATTGCAGAGGGTTTGATCGAAAATACAGACAATAACACAGCAGAGGAATGGGGTGAGGATGTGGTTCATGATCTTTTGAAATTTAAGGTGATTGTACGCTATGGTAGTACAAACGATCCCCTTGTCAATAAATTTCAAATTCCTCCTGACATCCGTAGTCGTCAGTTGAAGTTATATTTAGATGGAGATCTAAAGTCTATTAGACCACGGCCGTTACTGCTTTATAGAAAAAAAGTAACAGTAGATGAAGTTGATACAAAAAATGTTACTTCATTTAATATTTTTAATATTGGCACAAGTTATCTGAATTTTGGACCGCAATGGGTCACCGATTCATTCAAGAATATAGAAGTGCTTCAACTTGGGCGTTGGCAAGATTCACCTATACATCACATTGAAGTTGGGAGTGAAGAATTCTTGAAAGAGTTGATAAAGTTAAAGCGGTTGAAATATCTGAGTCTACGTGGGATATCAAGAATATTCGAGATTCCATCCTCCGTTGCTAAACTTGAAAGTCTACTAATTCTTGATCTGAAAGCTTGCCATAATTTAGAGACACTACCTGATGATATTTCATCAATGAAAAGTCTGACACATCTGATTATGTCTTATTGTTGCTTTCTGGAGGGTATGCCAAAGGGGATTGAGAAGCTCACTTATCTCCAAGTTCTCAATGGATTTTTAATAACTACTTCTGAAAAGACTCCTTGCACAATATCAGATCTTGCTAATAATTTGACAAATTTAAGGCGACTCAGCATACGTATTGGAAGTGAGGCCGTGATCAGGGATGGGGAATTTAAAAGTTTGGAAAAGTTTAGAAAACTGAAGCATCTGAAAATATCTTGGAGTGTGTCTGACCCAAGATATGCTAAAATTCCCATCAAGTTGCCATTAGGTTTGAGAAAGTTGCATTTTGAATGTTTTCCTGGAAAGACTTTAATAGAATGTATTCCACTTTTCCATCTGTCGTTCCGTTATACGTTTCCACCTGAGCTAAATATAACTGGAGGAAGACTGGAAAGTATGACGACAAATTTCTTACTAGGATTGCCCGTGTACATACTGCGTCTGAAGTACCTTAAACAATTAAATATCAACATAGATGATTTGAAAACATTATTTCCTTTGCTGAATTACGTAGAGATTAAACAAATCTCAAACCATTCATACATTGAGCGTGAATATTGAGCGTGAATATGAATAGAATGTTGATTTGAAAGAGCGGTAAAATGTTGTGTATTCTTATTATATTCTCTCAATATACATATACATATTTTATTTCATATATAATTTTATAAAAAAACTTAATTTTAAATACACAGTTAGTTTTAATAAAAAAGCATGGTATCTATATGGATACATTATTAGATACATTCTTAATTATATTTTATTACATAATTAAAAAAGAGAGTTTATATTTATGCATTATATTATAAAAATCTAAATTAAACTTTCTGTAAGAAAATATTTTTAACGTAACATGATAAGTCAAATATGATCTTTATATAACAATTTTGTATATTGTATAATTTTTAATATCACTTTATAGCAAAATGAAATGAAATAACATAATGGCAAAGTGAAAAAAATAAAGTTTTCTCAATAATCTTTTCCTTTAACAAATTAGTAAAACAAATAAAAAAAACAGAAAAAAAATTTCACACTAATGTATATCTTTTTTACAGTTGATGTGACTGTTGGTCACGTGTGAATACTTTCGTATAAGGATGCACAATGAAATAAGGGGAATTTCAGGATTTTGAGAGCTTTTGATCACTATAATTAGGACTTTAAGAAAGTTTAATATGGGCTTTCAAATGCGGAGTTCAGTTTGGGTTTCCATGGTTTACATTTGCAGATGTGTTTGTTACTCCAGATTTTCATTTCCTCAGTAATCCTTTTAACTGTTTAAAAGGATGTACCTTAGTGTGAAGACGTCTCTTTTTATTCTAGAATAATATGCTGTTTCTTCTTCCAATGAATTAATTTGCAGTAGTCACTATTCGCAATTTTCAATTGGTAGCATAAACGATTTGGACAAACCACTTATTTACATATTGGATTAAAGTTACAAAAGTATGAATCGTGAACAAGTGGAATATGGAGAAAGTGCATCTCAAGTTACAAAAGGATCTAACAATATATAATAACAATCATAACGATAAGAATGAGACAATCATGGAACAGTTATTTCTAAAATATTTAAAGTTTATATTAAATTTGCAATTGATGATTGTAATAATTTATCTTGATGAACAAAAGTGGAAAGTCATTATGTAAATTCAGAGTGTGTAATATGGTTTTAACTGTTTCCCTTCAAATTCTTTTGACATTATTCTTGGGAGAAGGTATCTTTAGGAATCACTAACAAAATCCTTGCATTTTAAAGCATAACAAGTTTATAGATTCTCTCTTTGAAGGGAAAATCAAACTTTTTGGGATCATTAAAATGGAAAATACTCGAAGAATGACGTGAAACTTTTGTGGTGTAATTCCTTCCTTCAAATCATACTAAAACTGGAAATTTTGATGCCATTAATTAGCTTCCCTCCATATCAACTATACTTTCCTTCAAAACTATCCTTAACTGTATGAGATTGGATTTGAATCGTTTAAAGCGTTTAAGTATTTGAGATTATTCTATCCACAAGAGGATTATCTTCCACAAAAGTTTTCCTTCTCTTAGAAATTCCTCTTGGCTTTTGGTGAGATGTGCCTTGAGTTCTCTTTTGTTGCTTTTCATAATATATATATATATATATATATATATATATATATATATATATATATATATATATATATATTAAGTTATA